AAAAAGGTGACCCTGTCCTAGCTGGTTTGGCTCAATGGATAGAGCGTCGGCCTGAAGACTGAAGGGCCCTGGATTCGATTCCAGTCAAGGGCACATGCCCAGATTGCAGGCTTCACCCCCAGAAGGGGGTGTGCAGAAGGCAGCCAATCAATGATTCTCATCACTGATGTTTCTCTTTCCCTTCTCCCTTCCTCTCTGAAATCAATAAAAAAAATTATTTTTAAAAAGGTAGGGGGTGGGGTGGGCATACGTGGGGAGAGTTTTGGGATGGGAATGGGGGGATGAGGACAATTATGTGATACCATAATAATTTTTTCTAAAAGTGTTCATTAAAAAAAAAAAAAAAAGTGACCTGGATTAGGAGAGACTTAAGGAGACACAGGCACATGTTGGTTCATGGCCCCAGTCCTCATTGACGTTCATGGTGAATAGCAATGTGCCCCATGCCTTGGTACCACCAGCTGGACTCTTTGAGTTCACCTAGCAGCTGGTGCAGGAAACCAGCAAGCCTGCCCAGTATGTTGCAGTGCACATGGTTCCGGACAACAGTTAAACCTTAATTCAATCCTGTTTTAATAATTTACAAGAGACATTTTTGGAAAAACAAGGAAATTGGAATATAGGTGATTTTAAGAAATTATGATTAATTTTGTCCTCTTTGAAGGGATGCTTTTAGTTATATTTGCAAAAGGGAAGTTTTTCTTTTGCTGTAGTTGTCTTCTTTGCAGAATTAGTTTGTGAGCAAATGAAACATACAGAGTTTGGCTTAATATAAAGAACAACTTTCTAACAATTTTCTAATCAATGAATGGCCTATTTCATGAGGTAATGAGTTATGTACTATTAGAACTCTAAGCAAAGGCTGAAAGGTCACTTGGCAAAGATACACAGAACAGAATTATGTGTTAGGAGATTAAAGAGAAGATCTTAATGGTCCTTTTCTACTCTAAGGATTTATTTCATACAAAGTTTTCCATTAGATGGGATTTCATAACGGTTGGCACTTCTTTTTTATATATATATATATATATATATATATTTTATTGATTTTTTACAGAGAGGAAGGGAGAGGGACAGAGAGCCAGAAAATCGATGAGAGAGAAACATCGACCAGCTGCCTTCTGCACACCCCCCACCGGGGATATGCCTGCAACCAATGTACATGCTCTTGACTAGAATTGAACCCGGGACCCCTCAGTCTGCAGACCGACACTCTATCCACTGAGCCAAACCAGTTTTGGCGGTTGGCACTTTGTAAATGCTATTAGAGATTAGACCTATCCTATCTAACAAAGAGGGAATATGCTAATTGACACTTACACCATTGCAAAGATGGTGGCACCCACAGCCAATAAGGAGGGAATATACTAATCGTGTGGTTGGCAAACTGTGGCTCGCGAGCCACATGTGGCTCTTTGGCCCCTTAAGTGTGGCTCTTCCACAAAATACCATGGCCTGGGTGAGTCTATTTTGAAAAAGTGGCGTTAAAGAAGTTTAAGTTTAAAAAATTTGGCTCTCAAAAGAAATTTCAATCATTGCACTGTTGATATTTGGCTCTGTTGACTAAGGAGTTTGCCGACCACTGTACTAATAGACTGCCCTGCCCTCAAAGATGGCGGCACCCATAGCCAATAAGGAGGGAATATGCTAACTGACAAATGGCAGCATCTGGTCCCCTCAGCCCTGCCAGGGCGGCAGGCACACAGCAAACTCTGTGCATCTGCCTCAGTCCTCTCAGCCCGCCAGGGCCAGTCCAAGGCGCAGACAAGCCTCGGATGGTGGCTGCCTAGCTGCCCAGGGCCGCCGGAGGCTCAGGTAACCAGGGCTGGCCGAATCTTGCGCTGCTGATAGTGGCAGCAGCAGAGGCGTGATGGGGGCGTCCTTCCCCTGACTGCCAGGTCACCTGTCCCTGATGGCTCCCAGATTGTGAGAGGGGCCAGGCCAGGCTGAGGGAACATCCCCCACTTCAGTACATGAATTGTCATGCATCGGGCCTCTAGTAATAGAATGGAGTTAAAGGATGAATTATATTATTATATCTTGTATCTATAATATATACATTATTGATTAAATGTGCCCAGCTGGCATGGCTCAGTGGTTGAGTATCAACCTTTGAACCAGGAGGTCAAGGTTCAATTCCTGGTCAGAATACATGCCCAGGTTGTGGGCTTAATCCCCAGTGTGGGGCATGCAGGAGTCAGCCAATCAATGATTCTCTCTCTCATCATTGATGTTTCTATTTCTCTCTCCCTCTCCCTCTCCCTTCCGCTCTGAAATCAATAAAAAATATTTTTTTAAAGTAATTTTCACATAAGCTAAATAAGCTTTGTTATTATCCCCATTTTATAAATGAGAAAACTGAGCTTTTATTGGTTCAAAGTCACTCAACCTGTAAGTAATGGTGCTAGATATGAACCCAGAAATTAACTTTAGACTAGACTTTATTCTCCCAATTACTAAAATATTCTGCCTTTCTTCCGTTATTCAAGCTGTTTCTTTTTTTAATATATATTTTTATTGATTTCAGAGAGGAAGGGAGAGGGAAAGAAACATCAATGATGAGAATCACTGATCGGTTGCTTCCTGTACACTCCTTACTGGGGATTGAGCCCCAGCATATGCCCTTGACTGGAATTGAACCTGGTACCCTTCAGACACTATCCACTGAGCCAAACTGGCTAGGGCTATTTTAGCTGCTTCTTATGTGATATAGATTGTTGTGATAAAATGGGAGAGACACTGCTAAATGGGGGAAGAGACTAGAAAAGATGCTATAAAATGAGCAGTTGCTCATTGCTTTTCTTGTGACATTTTTTTTAAATGCCCCAATTGAGAAAGAAAACTGTATAACTGCATATTATTAGTGCCAACTAACTATTATATAAAAGAAAGTAAGTCACCTCATGAAAGAAAAAACAATGATCAATGCCCTAGCCGGTTTGGCTCAGTGGATAGAACATTGGCCTGCAGACTGAAGGGTCCCAGGTTTGATTCTGGTCAAGGGCACATGCCTAGATTGTGGGCTCGATCCCCAGTGGGAAGTGTGCAGGAGGCAGCCAATCAATGATTCTTTCTCATCATTGATGTTTCTATTTTTTTTCTCCCTCTCCCTTATTCTCTGAAATCGATAAAAAATATTTTTAAATTGATTTTATTGATTTTTTTACAGAGGAAGGGAGAGTGATAAAAAGCTAGAAACATCGATGAGAGAGAAACATCGATCAGTTGCCTCCTGCACAAACTCTACCAGGGATGTGCCCGCAACCAAGGTACATGCCCTTGACAGAAATCAAACCTGGGACCTTTCAGTCCGCAGGCTGACACTCTATCCACTGAGCCAAACCGGTTTTGGCAATAAAAAATATTTTTAAAAAAATTATCAAGCCTCTTCCACAGAGGCTGAATATAAACAAAATTTTTTTTTTTAAATCTGCCCCTCCAGTGACTAGGTGTGTGTGGGGGGGGGGTGGGGGTGGGAGGGTGAGGGGATTGTCCCTAGTTCCATCAGTTCAACTAAAGGGATCTCACAAACCAAAGGGCTGAGCAATCAGTATGAGTAGTATTTGATTGTTTAATAAAATCTTTGAGAAAAAAAATAAAAGGACCTGGCCCTGGCTGGTGTTTCTAAATGGTTAGAGCATTAGCCCATGCATCTTAGGGTCATGGGTTCGATTACTGGTCAAGGGTAGGTACCTGGGTTGCAGGTTTGATCCCCAGCCTTGGTTGGGACACATGCAGAAGGCAACCAATCAATGTCTCTTTCTCACATGGATGTTTCTCTCTCTTCACCTTCCCCCTTCCTCCCTTCCGTTTTCTCTAAAAGTCAATGGAAAAAATATCCTCTAGTGAGTATTAACATAAATGAACAAACTAATTAATTAAAATGACCTGGAATAAAAAAATTCTTTTGACTGATGTCTCAACAGTTCTAAACCTTTCATTCATAGCCTTATAAAACAAAAAAAGAAAAACTCACTAATCATTCAAGATCTGTCAAAGAAAGGGGAGTCTCCCTCTGATCTTTGGCCAAAAATTCTTCTAAAACCCTCTATAGTAACCTTAGAGTAACTGAACTAGCCTACCTAGAGCATCCTCCTCCTCCCATCTTCCAACTCTCCCCAAACACAAACAGAAGGGCTCTTTCCTTGCTCCTACTGCACTTTATACATAATTATATTAGAGCACTAATCAACATTGCAGTATAATTATCTTTTTCTTATCTAGGCTATTAATTCCAAGAGGGCCAAGTCTCTACCTCACTTCTCTTTAAGTTTACTATTCCTAATCTTCAAAATTAGCACCAGTGAGAGTTCTCGAGATAGGTTTGCTATATAGGGAAAGACACAAAGATGACAAAATATAGAGTGATCTTTTATGAGAAGAAATTATTTTGTAAGATTTCTAACTTCTGCATCTTCAGTGAAGACCAGTTTCCCTTTAGGAGTTTTCCCCTCCCTCCCCCCCATCAGCCAATAGTTCAGGATGAATGGGAACTAGAGAAAAAGTCTAGCTAGCCATTTTGGTTTGCAATAGGTTTCCATGAACAAGGGATGACTCAACTTAAAGGATCAGGAAGGTAGTCAGAGCCTTTCAAGAGTTTTTATTCAGATGGCAAAGATGCAGGATGTAATTTGAAATGCCTGCGTTTTTTACATTTAAATGCTAAAGACAAGAGGGAAATAATTCCAAATAAAAATCAATGATTACTAAGCAGTACCTGCTCATCCACTCTACTGTTTTTCAGACAAAAAACAAACCTCTGGCAAAAAAGTATAGGTCTGGTTACACCCTTCAACCATGGGGAACGTACTTTTCATGTACTGATATGAGTCTCTTTGGACCCCTCGTTAAGGTTAGCTCAGCCACTTTCTAGATAATATGGTTAGGCAATCCTTTGAAGTGAAAATTTTGGGGTCTGCAAGTTATCTTTCTCACCAATTTGAGAAAATTAAGTGATATTATACTGGAAAAACAGTACCATCACATCTGTACCATGTTACCTTGGTTAGAATCCACTGAGTCTTTTATATGAGCAAAAACACTCCTGACATAAGTTTGCTTCTTCCGTTCTAGATCTGATTGTGAAAACGGTGAAACATTAGTCCTGGAACAAAGCAAACCAGAAGGAAAAACAGTCCATTAGAATTATGAGTATAGTGTTTTATTGACAGGAGATATATATTGCTGATCAATCAGAACAACTAAATTTCATAAGCAAAATACTCTCTAAGATTCAGGGACATAAGATAGTTTTAGGCACATGAAGCTGAAATCAAGTATGGAGTTGAGAGAGAAAAGAAGAGATCAACAGTCTCCTGCTAACAACGCACAGGAAAGTGATGACAACTTGGTTCCTAGGAAAAAAAGCATTTGAGTAATTCAAGGTCAGGAAATAGCTAACTTCATAGAGCTACAGAAACCTGAATGTGATAAACAGAAAAGAATGAGCTGGCCGAGACCGGTTTGGCTCAATGGATAGAGCATCGGCTTGGGGACTGAAGGGTCCCGGGTTCGATTCCGGTCAAGGGCATGTACCTTGGTTGCGGGCATATCCCCAGTGGGGGGTGTGCAAGAGGCAGCTGATCGATGACTCTCTCTCATCGATGTTTCTAACTCTCTATCTCTCTCCCTTCCTCTCTGTAAAAACTCAATAAAAAATATTAAAAAAAATATATATATATATATATTTTAAAAAAAACAAAAAACCAGCTGGATCTGGCAATTAAAAAATTGATGACATCTGGTCCTTACTCATACTGACTCTGCACTATATTGAGGAGTCTGTGGATGAGAATATTGTGATAGTCAAGTTATTACGGTTCCAAGAAGCCTGACTTATATTCTCTGGTATAATTTCCAATGTGAGCAATTCAGTATGTTTCCCTCAAATTATGCAAACAAAAGAAAAAGAAAAACAGAAAAGGGACTTTAGCCTTATTTTTAATACTTTAAAATTTCAAAAGCAGAATACCTATACAAATGCACATGGATACATTTACAATTTTTCAAATATCATTGTAAGGAAGTCAATGTGACCCAATCTAAAAAACAGCTTTGCTAATTAAAAAGGCCCATGTGGAGACACTGCCATCTCCTGGCAATAAGAGCAAAGATTGAAAAGGTTGGCCCAAATCTGCAGTCTCTATAAGAATTTTTCCCCAAGACAGTTGTAAATGATTTTCTACAGTTATATTTTAACATTCTTGTTAAAAATTATTCTAACCTCCTAACATATCTGTGACCAGGCTTGTCCATACACAGGAAAAGGAATCTTACATTTATACAGTGCTTTCACTAATATGTCTTTTTCTAGTCTTCAAAATTATCTTGTAAGGTAGTGGAAAAGGCATCATTGGCCTCACTTTAATGACATAACTAGAGGCCCAGTCCAATAAATTTGTTGACACACACACACACACAGAGTTCCCCTCAGCCTAGCCTGCACCCTCTCCAATCCGGGACCTTTCGGGGGATGTACGACTGCCAGTTTAGGCCTGATCCCCGGGATCGGGCCTAAACTGGCAGTGAGATATTCCCTCTCACAATCCAGGACCATTGGCTCCTAACTGCTCACCTACCTGCCAGCCTGATATCCCCTAACCACTTCTGCCTGCTGGCCTGGTCACCCCTCACTGACCCCCTGCCAGCCTGGTTGCCCCTCACGGGCCCCCCTGAGAGCCTGATTGCCCCCAACTGCCCTCCTCTGCGGGCCTGGTTGCCTTTCACTGTCCCCCCTACCCCTCACTAACTCCCTTGCCGGCCTGGTTACCCCTCACTGCCCCCTCTACCAACCTGGTTGCCTCCAACTTCCCCCCATGATGGCCTTGTCGCCCCACACAGCCTGATGTTCAGTCGTTACTGTGAGGGCATCCCAATCAATTTGCATATTACCCTTTTATTAGTATAGATGAGTCAGAGATCATTTGACTTGCCCAAGATCACACTAATAGGTGGTGCTAGAACTTCAAGTATGCTCACTCAGGTTTTTTTCTCCACACTACAGGGAAACTGAGGAGGAAATCAGCATATTTCATTACACTATTACCTTGCTTTGGTTTGCAGAACAGGAATGACTTTGCCTATTCTCTCAGGAACTTTCAGCTTCCCAGAATCCTTGTCAAGAACATCCTTTTTTTCAGAGCAAAAGAAATGCAGAAGGAAAGATGGTTCTTAGTAATAAGAAATAACTGAGGATACCATTTATGCAAATGCCCTTAAACTAAGGCATATCCTTATCCCACTGTGCACCAGGCACTATGATAGCTGCTTTAAATGAGATAGCGACTGCAATCTTAAGTGGGGGAAAGGGGGCTTAGAACCCTAAGCAGCAGGGATTATTAAACCCATTTGGAGGAAAAGGAATCAGGCTCAAAGAGGTTAAGGAAATTGCCCAAGATTTTTCAATTCTTCTGAGGCTGACTTAGAGCTGGTACTACATTTAATATAGCAATATTAGAGGCCCGAGGCACAAAATTCATGCAAGAGTAGGCCTTCCTTCCCCGGCTGCCAGCACCGGCTTCCCTCTGGCACCCGGGCTTCCCTCCAGCTGCTGGTAGGCACCCGGGACCTGGGCTTCCCTTGCAGCCCTGGCTTCGTCTAGAAGAATGTCCAGTCTAATTAGTATATTATGCTTTTATTATTATAGATAACCAAAGCTTGGGCTGAAGCCCAAAGAGAGGAAAAATAATACTAACATAATCATCAACTTAATAATTATCTAATAAATGGTAATTTAATATCATGAATGTTAATGCAAATACACAATTACCCTTTATCATGAAATATTTTTTTAAATATATTTTATTGATTTTTTTTACAGAGAGGAAGGGAGAGAAATAGAGAGTCAGAAACATCGACGAGAGTCATCGATCAGCCACCTCCTGCATGCCCCCTACCGGGGATGTGCCCGCAACCAAGGTACATGCCCTTCACTGGAATCGAACCCAGGACCCTTCAGTCCGCAGGCTGACACTCTATCCACTGAGCCAAACCGGTTTCGGCTATCATGAAATATTATTCACTCCTATTTTTAAATAAGAAATATGAGGGCTCACCCATTGTGGCTCAGTGGTTGAGCATTGACCTATGAACCAGGAAGTCACGGTTCAATTCCTGTTAAGGGCACATGCCCAGGTTGCAGGCTCAATCCCCAGTGTTGGGTGTGCAGGAAGGAGGCAGCCAATCAATGAGTCTCTCTCATCATTGATGTTTCTATCTCTCTCCCTTCCTTTCTGAAATCAATAAAAATATAAAAATAAAAAGAAATGTGAGGGAACAGAGAGGCTACATAATCTGTCCAAGGTCATGATATTAGGATTCAAACCGCAATTTGGCCAAAGCCGGTTTGGCTCAATGGATAAGAGCATAAGCCTGCGGACTGAAAGGTCCCCGGTTTGATTCCAGTCAAGGGCATGTACCTTGGTTGCAGGCACATCCCCAGGAGGGGGTGTGCAGGAGGTAGCTGATCGACGATTCTCTCTCATCGATGTTTCTAACTCTCTATCCCTCTCTGTAAAAAAAAACAAAACAAAAAAACACACACAATTTGTCTGAATACGAAGTTCTGTTGCTATACAGCTTCTAATGAAAATAATTTTAATTTTCTCTTCATCTTGAACAAATATACTTACTTTGTTTGATGAATTGGAAACAACTGGAAACTTCATTTCACAACTTGATTTATGTGATCCATTTCTCCAGGATGACCCTAAATGAGGAGTCTCTGAATGGTCTAAGATCTGAGTGATTACAGATGTAGGTTTCTTACTATCAGGCATACTTTTTCCAGGGACAGTTTGTTGAAAGTTATTACTTGAAGGAGAAGGGAGCAAGGGCCCATCCCAGGAAGAGTTATTGGGGATGATCCCCTCAGAATTAGTGCAAAGTCTGATCTTTTTTGGGCTAAGACCATCTTCTCTCATCCCTTCCCCAAGGGAGGAGCGTTTTTCAATATCTTTGGATGTATCAGTCTTGTCCTTATTAAGCATAATATCACAAGTTGTTGGATTAAATGGTGCAACAACTGTTAATTTTACAAGATTCTTTTCTGGTGCAAAGGGTCTGTTTAATGGTTTCGTAGGAGTTGGTCCCTGGCCAACTGATGTACTTTGAGGTGATTTGAAGAGGCCAGGAGTCTCAGCTACTGGTACACGGCTGTCCAATGAATGTTCCTCATCCTCATCTGATAGATCATCATCCCGCAAGTACTTCTCTATCTCTTCCTCTGTGAAGCTGAAATGGCCATCATCTTCTTCTCCTTCACTCAGGTCCAGCAAGGAGTCATCCAATATATCCTCATCCAAGGGACCCCTAGAGGGTACTAGTGGGCACATCATATCTGAAGAAATAAGAGGCAGATTCACTGAGGAACAGGAAATACTCTTTATACCAGTTCCAATCTGCTCTCTAGAGTAATAGTGTCCTCACATTTCAAATTTTTAACACTGTGACTTGTAATGTGGAAAACAATTTTAAGATATCTAACTTTATCAGAATCATGGAAATACATATTAGAACGATGATACCTTTTTCCCTATAAATATGGTAAAAATTAAGACATAATAATCCAGGTTAGTGTGGTGTGCGGAAAAGCACTCTCATACTCTGTCAGTGAGAGTGTAAGTCAGCACAATATTTTGTGGATAGTATCTTGGCAATACCAATTTACCCAGATATTTCACTTCTGGAAGTTTATTCTACAGAAATACCTATACAAATGCACATGGATACATTTACAAAGATATCCAAAGCATCATTACTCAAAATACCTAAATAGTGAACAATCTACATATCCATCACGAGGAGGTCAGTTAAGTAAAATTATGGCATATTCATGCTGTGTATATTTTAAACTACAGTCGTCTCCCCGTATCTGCAGTTTTGCTTTCCACAGTTGCAGTTACCACAGTTTCAGACACGAGGTCAAGCGAGGTTCTAAATTATTAAATGGAAACTCCCGAAATAATTCTTCTTTTGTTAAAGTATATTTTTACTGATTTCAGAGAGGAAAGGAGAAGCAGAGAGATAGAAACTTCAGTAAGGGAGAACCATTGATTGGCTGCTTCCTACCCGGGGTTGAGCCCACAACCTTGGCATGTGCCCTTGATGGGAATCAAACCTGGGACCCTTTAGTCCACAGGCCGATGCTCTATCCACTGCACCAAACCAGTTAGGGCCTGAAAAATTCTTAAGTTTTGAGTAGTCTGATGAAATCTCGTGCCTTCCCACTCTGACTTGTCCAGAACATGAATTATACCTTTGTCCAGCATATCCACAATCTTTATGCCTCTGTTCATTAGTCACTTAGTAGGTTATTGGAAGGACTGCCATGATATTTCAGTGCTTATGTTCAAATAAACCTTATTTTATTTAATAATGGCCCCAAAGAGCAAGAGTAGAATTGCTGGCAATTCATATATGCCAAAGAGAAGCTGTAAAGTACTTCCCATGAAGTGACAACGTATGCATAAAAAGGGAAAAAACAGTATATATAAGATTCAGTACTATTTGCGGTTTCAGGCATCCACTGGGAGTTTTGGAACATATCCCCTGTGGACAAGTGGGGACTACTGTATTTTAAAAGACAATGTGAGCCGAAACCAGTTTGGCTCAGTGGATAGAGCGTTGGTCTGCAGACTGAAAGGTCCCAGGTTCGATCCCGGTCAAGGGCATGTATATTGGTTGCGGGCACATCCCCAATAGGGGGTGTGCAGGAAGCAGCTGGTCAATGTTTCTCTCTCATCCATGTTTCTGGCTCTCTATCCCTCTCCCTTCCTCTCTGTAAAAAAAAAAAAAAAAAAAAAGGACAATGTGATCTGTACATACTATAATTGAATAATATCCACAACATACAAACAATACAAATATGTAAAATGTTTGAATTTTCATAGTTTACACTTTTTAGAAAACATTTTATAATTAAGAATATTAGAATTGTCTTCCATACTGTGTGGAGCTGCTGGCGTGACCTCTGCCTCTGCCACGAGACCAAACGGAAAAGGTTTCAGCTCCTGCTCTGTTCCTTTCAGCAGACTTGTCAAAGTGATTGACTCCCACCTTCCTGAAGGTACAAAGAAAATTAGAGGATCTTCTCATCACTTTCAACTCTGCTAATTACAAAGTCAACTGTATTATGCTTTTAAGGTGCTCCATCTATTAATTTTCATCTTGATTTTTTTTAATACCAGAAAGTTAAATTTTAAGTCAAAACATAAAAGAAAAACCTTTAGAGAAAAAATTATGCAACTAAAGGACTAATTTTATTCCAACAATTTGTACTTTCTTAAGGTTATCATTTATTTGCTCTAGTAGGATGAATCCTGGATTAGGAATCCAAAAACCTGGGTTATAGTTGTGGTTCTGTCACTAACTAGTTATAATAATTTAGGCAAGCCACTTAACCATTTGTACTTATTTTCTCATTTATAAACTGGGGAACGGATGGAAAAGGGGACCAGGCAATGTCTAAGATTCCACCAAGATGTAAAAGTTACTCATGTCCACATATACAAAAGTCTCATTTCAATAGATACATAGATGCAAAAATAGAAAAAAATGCAAACCCAAATTTGATGACTGCTATAACATGTGGAAGATTGAGAGAGGTCAAAGGGAGATTTTGGTATCATTTTACTTTTCCAATTGAATATTTATATATTACTAGTTTAACTAAAACCTAGTTTTCAAACAGCTAATGATAAATTTGACCTATAATTATTTTCTAATGAAGAAAATGAAGGAAAGCTAATATTTTACATATTTCATATAAACAAATGAAAAGCTATAAAAAATAATTAAACACTAAACTCAATAATCTGGGAAATTCATGATAGCCTTTTTTCTGTGAATTTTGCCTACCCCACTTCCTTCTAAACCACACCTGGAATTTTAACTTTAGTTCATACCTTCTTACAGAAAACATAGTTTCTGAGTTACTATCATCACACAGCATTGAGCTAGATAATACATCTCTATAAAATTTCTAAGAAATAAAGATATGATTTCTACACTCAAGGGATGTATAACCTTGCCAGGAGACAAGATTTAACATACACACTACTATGAAAAAATGTAAAATGGGATGGACAATAAAGTACCAAAGAAAGAGTTAGAAGGGAAGTAATTTCAGAATTTGAAAATTAAAAGGGACCTACGTAATGCACAGCATGGTGATTATAATTAACAACACTGATTTTATACTTGAAAATTGCTAAGAGAATATATCCTAAAAGTTCTCATCACAGGAAAAAAAACTTTATGTGAGGTGGTGATGTTAACTAAACTTATTTTATAACTAAAGGCCCAGTGCATGGATTCGTACACGGGTGGGGTCCCTCAGCGTGGCCTAAGGTAATCGGGTAAAACTCCGGCAATCCAAGGCCTCCTGCTGCCACTCCCACTTATCTCGGGCCCACTGCACCTGCCGCAGGCGTGCGCCCAGTCAGTCCCAATCAGGAGAGTCTTGCATCTGGTGCCCTGGGATCAGCTGAGCAGTGCTCCTGCCGTGGGAGAGCACTGACCACCAGGAGGCAGCTCCTGCATTGAGCATCTGCCCCCTGGTGGTCACTATGATGTGCACTGACCACCAGGGGGCAGATGCTCAATGCAGGAGCTGCCCCCTGGTGGTCAGTGCACATCATAGTGACTGGTCATTCAGTCATTTAGGCTTTTAAATATATAAATCATATGGCAATATGTACATATATCAAATCATTATGTTGAACATCTTAAGATAATAAAACTAGGGGGGGATAATAAATAAAAGAGAGAACTATTATAATTAAACTTTATCTTAGAAATGAGGTGGGACAGGAAGGAAAGAAATATTAAGTACCTATTATAAATCAGGCCCTGAGAGATATTTACAGCTCTAATTTAACTTAATTCTATAACACAGATCTTATCCAAGAAACTAAGGTTTCTGTTGTATTTAAACGTAGTGCTGCTAAGACTTTTTCTCTGATTTACCAACAATTGTTGTGAAAGTTCCAGGCACTGGAGCAGATTCCTCATTGAAGAGAAAAGTAATCTCCCTGCCCAGTGACTGAGTTTTTATAACATTATTTCTTTAGGCAGAAGTAAGAAAGTTGGCTTTTGGAAATTTCTTTACATAAAATTTGTGGTTGTCAAGTACAAGTATCACAGACAGTATGGTTAAGCAGCTACATTTCTGAGAATCCCTTTCTGAGCCCCTATCCCCATTCTCACTCCAGCATCTGCTTGACCAAATGAGTTCAATATATTTTCACTCTTGGAAGACAAAAGTTCAAAGTCATAAAGTAACTCAACCAAGTACAGAGAACTAAGAATGCTAGAACAAGGATCCAAACTAAGGTATATTTCCAAAGGCAATGATTTTTCCTTGTGTATGTTTTTCTACCATCTTTGTAATAAGACTTGCCCAAGGTTGGTCAGCAAATGGCAGAGCCCTCTAAATTCACTACACCTTTTAATAGACATGAAAGATATGGACACTAATGAGGATTTTGGTGCCTTGGCAAAAATAATTTAAGCCACCTTATTATCACAGACTTCCTTGATTTCCCAGCTGAATGGAAGAACATCAGAAATATCCCTGAATGTGGCCAAACCTCACAAGAAAAAACACACACACATCATTACTGCACACAAAAAGGACCAAAATCCTTCACAACCACTGAAAACATCAATTTCTATGCCATACGTCACAGGCGTCTTCAAACTGCGGCCCGCAGAGGAGTCTGATCCGGCCCGCCAGGTTTTTTGGGCAGTGAGCGCAGCCGAGGTGTTACAGTAGGAATTAGTAGTTCATATAGTCCGGCCCTCCAGCTCTCTGAGGGACCGTGATCTGGCCCCCACTTTAAAAAGTTTGAGGACCCCTGTGCCATACGACATCCAGAGCCACGGAGCTGGCTCTTCTGAGCTTCTCTCATATAATGTTCCAAAAGGGCTAGGAGCAAAACAATACCATCCTATATAACGGTAGTAATCCTATGTAATAGAAGCCTGATAAGCAAATCGACCAAATGCAATGACAGAATGACTGGTCACTATGACTTGCACTAACCACCAGAGGACAGTCGCTCAATGCAGGAGCTGCCCCCAGCCAGAAGGCCCCAGGCCAGCCAAGGTGGGTGCCAGCAGGGACCCCACAATCATCCCGACCATCGCCCTGCAGAGGGAGGCTACTGGCAGCAACGGGGCAGGCCAGTGAGCAGACTGCCAAGGTGGGTGCCAGTGGGAGCTTCCCCCCTTCCCCAATCGCCCCACCACTGGGCCCTGATCACTGGCCAGGCCTAAGGACCCTACCCATGCACAAATTTCATGCATCAGGCCTCTAGTATACATATAATGTTTAACCTGCACAAATTATTCTCTTCATAATTTTAGTTCCTCATTTTAACACACATACAAGAACATAATAGTATAATGAATCCTACATACCATCACTCAGACCCAACAACTACCATCAACCAAATCATCGCTAATCTAACCCCACCCATCTACCAGATTATTTTGAAGCAAATCCCAGGCATTAATCATTTCATCTGTAAATAACAAGAATTCATCATCATAAAATATCTGGTTCAGTTTTCCAATTATTTTATAAATGTCATATATTTTTAAAATATTTTTTAAAAATAATTATCCAACTAAGGTCCTTACATTGTAATTGACTGATACATCTTATGTTTCAATCTATAGCATCCCCATTTTTTTCTTGCAACTTGTTAAAGAAACAATACCATAGATACATATATCATTAAATTATAAAAACATGCATAGGAATAAGAAACACCAAATTCATGCCAAAACCTGTTTGGCTCAGTGGTAGAGCGTCCGTCGGTCTGCGGACTGAAAGGTCCCAGGTTCAATTCCGGTCAAGGGCATGTACATTGGTTGCGGGCACATCCCCAGTAGGGGGTGTGCAAGAGGCAGCTATTCGATGTTTCTCTCTCGTTGACTAGCTCTCTATCCCTCTCTCCTCCTCTCTGTAAAACATCAATAAAACATATTTTAAAAATAAAATAAAATAAAATAAAATGTATTCTGTTGAGTTTAAAAAACAAACAAACAAACAAAAACACACCAAATTCAGCCCTGGCTCGTTTGGCTCAGTGGATAGAGCATTGGCCTGCAGGCTGAAGGGTCCCAGGTTCAATTCTGGTCAAGGGCATGTACCTTGGTTGCAGGCACATAACCAGTGGTGTGTGTGTGTGTGTGTGTGTGTGTGTGTGTGTGCAGGAGGCAGCTGATCAATGTTTCTCTCTCATCAATGTTTCTAACTCTCTACCTCTCACCTTTCCTCTCTGTAAAAAAGCAATAAAATGTATTAAAAAACAAACAAACAAAAAAAAAACAATACCAAATTCAGGATAGTGGTTACTATCTCTGTTTGTGGGACGGGAAGAGGAATGGGCAAGGGAGCATAAGAGCTTTAATTCTATTAAAAAAAAAAAAAAAAAAAAAGCCTAAAACAAACATGGCAACACAATATAAAGCTGGCCCTGGCTGGTTTGGCTCAGTGGATAGAGCGTCAGCCTTTATAGTGAAGGATCCTGGGTTCGATTCTGGTCAAAGTCACATGCCCAGTTTATGGACTCAATTCTCAGTAGGGGACATGCAGGAGGCAGTCAATCAATGATTCTCTCTCATCATTGATGTTTCTAGCTCTCTTCCATTCCTTTCTGAAATCAATAAAAATATATATTTTTAAAAATTATTAAAAAAAGATAAAGCTGGATGGTGGGTATAATGGTATTCATTACTATACTTTTTATATGCTTAAAATATTTAATAATAAAAACATTTTAAAGTTAGAAATCAGTGGGGATACAATGATTACATTCTGAAGTTTCAAATGTCCTCTCCTGTAAAAGGACCACATACTACTACTTCATGGGGTTGCTGGAAGAATTAAATAAGATCATGAATATAAAGCACTTAGTATATACTACAGTATAAAAGCTAAATAGTTTACAGACATTATTTCACTCTATCCTCATCACCTCCCTGAACCCTTCAAAATCTTAAGAGAAACATAGGAATAGTAGGAAAAAAGAGTGCTAAACTGGTAAAAACTTCTCCTAGCCCTCACATGTTAGGGAATTAATCCAGTAGCTCTAATCTCTTCTACATTAACCCAGAATTCAACCATTTGCCACTAAATTAAAGACTAGGCTGTACAGACATCTGAACTACAGGCAAATTCTGTAAATTAATAATGAAGTACCTTGTACAGGGGAACTAAAATTCAGAAACTTCAGCAATTCACTTCAAGTTTGAACCTCAAAACAGATGAGAACACTCATCTGAAAAATGTAAATTGTTCACTGTTAACTTCGAACATAGATTATCATGAAGATAAATGAAGGCAAGTTTAGGAGAGCACTCAACATAAAACCCTATACCAGTGGTCGGCAAACTCATTAGTTAAGAGCCAAGTATCAACAGTACGACGATTAAAATTTCTTTTGAGAACCGAAACCGGTTTGGCTCAGTGGTAGAGCCATCAGTCTGTGGACTGAGGGGTCCCAGGTTTGATTCTGGTCAAGGGCATGTACATTGGTTGCAGGCACATCCCCAGTAAGGGGTGTGCAGGAGGCAGCTGGTCGATGTTTCTCTCTCATCGACGTTTCTAGCTATCTCTCTCCCTTCCTCTCTGTAAAAAAATCAATAAAATAGATTTTAAAAAATAAAATAAAATTTCTTTTGAGAGCCAAATTTTTTAAACTTAAACTTCTAGCGCCACTTCTTCAAAATAGACTCGCCCAGGCCGTGGTATTTTGTGGAAGAGCCACACACAAGGGGCCAAAGAGTGCATGTGGCTCGGGAGCCGCAGTTTGCAGACTAGGGCCCTATACTAATGAAAGTTGATTTTAATGAATTTGTGATGGAGGGGGGACCTCAGATCTCTAAAGGGAAGTTCCACAGAAAGCCTTAGTACTTGTCTGCCATTCTACCATCACCTGCCTTTCTTGGCACTTACTTTGTAACCCCCACCAAAAATATTCGGATCTCTTTATTTTTAAAGCAAGACTATTTTTCCCATCTCTCAAGTCTCTCTCTTAATTCCTCTGCTCCCCATCCCTCCTGTGACCCTATTCTGTCCTTCTATGTCTCTCACCTGTCCACCCCCTCCTTCACACTTCAGTTTACCACGTCCGCCCTCGCTGTTCTCTAACCTCCTGGTTGCAACCTCAGAAACTGGCTCCCTTTCTATTTTTATCATACCTAAAAAACCTACTGCCTTAGAGCACAGAGCTTTTATCTTTTGATTCAGGCCACTAAAACTGCAACACCAGATACCATCCCACATCCCTCTTTCTAAAGGCTCCAAAACTAAATCATTACCAAGCTGAATTTGACAAGGTATGGCCAAGGGGAAGGATTATTTTCAAGGGACAGGATTGCCCCACTCAACTTGGATTTCCAACTTTCCCCATCCGAAATCCGTGAGGCACACTACATGAAAGACACTACTCGGTAGGTTTTACCACTCCATCAAAGGGACATAGCATTCAAACAAAATCAAAGTAGCCTAACATTATCTGTGGGGTTTGTGCAACTCCCTTTGAGGTAACTGAAAAAGCTGTAGGACAGAAAAACAGCCCAGAGCTGGAAATCTCTGCCGCAAGTAACATTTCACTAGATAAGAGCCCCCGGATTCTCCTCCCATAGAGGCAAGGGAGACCAAATGTCCATGCCTGCAGCAACAGGTTTCTTAAAAAACAACAACAAAAAATGTAGGCAGGTTTGCTAAAGGCTGGAGCCTCTATCATAGTCACAAGACACTGGAGGTCAGGTGTGACCCATGACCCACCTAAGACCACACACCTTCTACTAGGCCTTCAGTAAGTTTCCACCACTCGCTCCACCTATCTCAGAATCTAATCTAACCAGTAAATATGGCTGCATCCTGCCCGAGGAACTGAGCCAGCTCCGCCCCCGAGCCCCCACCTGAACCTTCCAACAGCCCTTAGGAAGAAACCTCAGTCCCTCACGACGACAGGCCCTGAGCCCTCCATAGCGCTTGGCCCCTTTCAAGCTCTGGACTCGGTCCCTCTCCTCTGTGAATCCTTTCACAGCCCGGGCTTGGAGGGAGCAAGACCTCCCAGCCCCCCTAACCAGGTGAGGACGGCAGGTGGGCCCACCCAGCGGGCCCAGGCCTCCCCTCCGGGCTCGGGGAGAAATGGGTGGGGCGCCCCCGGGTCTCGGGAGCCAAACCCACCCTTCGGAGGCGGCCCCCGGACCCCTCCCTGCCCTCCCTCCCGTAGTCAGCCTCAGCCTCCGGCACAGCATCGCCCAGGGCCAGGCCTCCGCACTCCCTCCTCCTTCCTCCCAGAGACGGAGAATTCCCGCCGCCCGCGGAGGGCGGGAGCAGCGCGGCTCGGCGCCCACCCCTCCCCCCGGAGCGGGACCTGCCCGCGGCGCGGCTGCAGCCTCTCCCCGAGGACGGCGACCCCCCACCCCTCGCCCCGCGGCGGGACCCGGCCCCGCGCCCCGAGGGGCGGCCATCCTCTCCTCCCCCACAGCCCGGCGGCGAGAGGACCGCGGCCCCTCCCGGCCTCCCCTCCCGGCCTCCCCTCCCGCCGTGGAGCCGGAGCGGCAGCGCCCGCGCCCACCCGCCCCCGTCCCCCTCCCTCCCGCCGCCCTCAGGCTGGGAGAACCGACGCCGCTCCCGCCTCAGGCCGCCAACAGCCTCCCTTCTCCTCCGCAGGGTGAGGGGCGCCCAGAGCCCGCCGACGTGGAGGTGGGGGCAGGGACACTCCCCCCTCCCGCCGCCATCACCTCAGGGACGAAAAACGAGCCGCCCTCCCAGCAGGGCGAGGGCCTCCCAACCCCTCAACGGGGCGGACGGCGGCGGACGTGGTCCCCTGAAGAAGCAACAGGCGCCCCCATCCTCCTCCCGGCCGGGGAGTGCCGACCCCCTCGCCCCTCGCCCCTCCCGCACTTCACCTCCGGAATTGGGGCCGAAGCCTGGGCGAAGACCTCGCCTCACTCCGCCCCCTGCGCCATTTTATCGCCCCTCTCCCCGACCTCCCCCACCCGAGGCAGCCCGGGCAGCGCCAGGGGGGCGGGCACACAGGCGATGATTGGCAGGACGGCGCCCCGCCCCTTAGGGGGTGGAGCTTCGCGCAGGCGCCGCAACCCCTCCCTCCGCACCGCCTACCCCGACTACTGGCTCCGCCTCGTCTCGTCTCATCGACCCGCTCGACTTCCTGCTGCTCCTGCCTTCCGACCACCTCACGCCGACGGATCCAGGCCGAGCCAGCCGAGCGACGAGCTCAGCTGATGCAACCTGACAGTACACTTCCCGGCACGAGGAGGCGGCGGCGGCGGCGGCGCGGACCGAGGGCGAGAGCGAGGAAAGGGCGCAGTGCTGGATTGAGCCCGGAAGACAAGGGCGACGGAGCCATGGGGGATGCTCTGAGCCCAGAAGAGAAGCTGCACCTCATCACCCGGAACCTTCAGGTCAGGCCTGGGAAACGCGCTGTTGGGGACCGAGGACCCAACCAACGTTCAGAGATGCTGAACCCCACTACCAGATCCTAAGTGTATGAGGCCGGGGACTCCGCGCCAAAGCCGGGGTGAGATGGCCTGCAGTCCTCACTGCGGGTCCATCAGTCAGTCAGCCAGTCAGTTATCTGGGTGCCACAGCAACCACATCGGGCTCACCTCCTGTATGCAGTTACCTGTGTTGAACCAGACTTTGAATTAGGACTCCCACTCTATTATGTGCCAGGCGCGGTGCTAGGTAATACGTCAAGGCTCTGCCCACCCCACAGATTGTCTGAAGGGAATCAGACGTTAAAAATGACTTGTAATCCAAGCACTGTAATTACAGTTGAGGAAGGTACTGTAAATTACTTATACACGAAACGTTGAAAAGAAATTAGGGGAAACAACTGGGGTGTCAGGGGAGATTGGAGACGTGACCTTTAAACCACATCCTGAAAGCTTCAGATCACCTCGTCACTTATGTTCCTGCACAGCAGGAGTGGGAGTTAACCGGGGGGGACATGGCGGTGGGGGGTGGGACATTTCAGGTAAAAAGAACACAGATCCAGACCCAGAGGAAAGCCTAACCGCGGTAGCTCAGTGGTTGAGCTTCGACCTATGAACTAGGAGGTCACCATTCAATTCCGGTCAGGGCACATTCCCGGGTTTCCGGCTCGATCCCCAGCAGGGGGCGTGCAGGAGGCAGCCAACCAATTATTCCCTCTCATCATTGATGTTTCTAGCCCTTTCTCCCTCTCCCTTCCTCTCTGAAATCAATAAAATTATGTATAATAATAATTTAAAAAAAAAGACCCAGAGGAGAGCAAAAACACTGTGGTTCAGATAGGAGGCCAATTTGGCTGGAGTAGAGTGTCCCAATTACTAATTTTACTAGGGACGTAGCACAGGTGACCTACGGCTCCTCAGCCACCTAGTGGACTTATACAGAGTTGCCAAGGTACTTAAATTTGAGGAACCTAAATTCCAACACTAGGAGACAAACATTAATTGCACGAATCACACACGGTTTATTTACCTAAGGCCTGGTGGGTTCCAGAACTCGGCAAGCCACCCGGAGAGCCACGCTGACAGACACACACAGGACATGGTTGCAGCTGCAGCTGGGCGTTGGTCGAGGCCTCAAGGCTCACGGAAAGTCGGTTGAGCTGAAACAGCTCCCGCAGAGCTTCGAGCAGGAGTGGAAAGGGGAGCGGAGAGCGGCCGTCTCTGCTTGATACTTCCAATCTTGCTTCTTTTATAGCCATTTCTGGGCGTTCCTCTGTTCTCTGTAGGTCGTCAGTGAGTCTTATCAGTGGGTCCCAGGCTTGTAACGGTTCTGGTTCCAGGCGGGAGTTGCTAGGGTGTTCACCCAGTTCCTGGGGCTTTCACACAGTGACTAGGTATAATATTCACTCTTAAATATAACAGATTCATATATTAGGTTTTGAATTACCGTATTTTTCGGACCATAAGACGCACTTTTTTCCCCCCAGAAGTGGGGGGGGAAAGTCCCTGCGTCTTATGGTCCAAATATAGCCTCCACATATACTTTTAAAAAAAGTTTTTTTACTTGCCCGGCTCTGTGTGGTCTCTGTGTGCTTGCCCGGCTCTAAAATGGTTCTAAATGCTGCTGTTTATTTTACAGGGTTGATTACATGTGTTTATGACTGTGATGTTGGGTTTTAATGCACATAAAATATTTTAGGACACTATTTGTTTCAGAATCTTTTTTTTCTTCATTTCCCTTCTCTAAAAACTGGTGCGTCTTATGGTCCGGTGCGTCTTATGGTCCGAAAAATTCGGTAAGTCCCACAGAGCGAGACCCAGCTGGCCACGGTTTTCCTGGGTTTGTCTTAAATGGCTGCTGTGGTGATATAAAAGGGGCGTAAGGACAGACACCTCCCTCCCCAACAGGAACTATTACCATTCTAATCATTTATTTCCTTTTCCAGAATCACCAAAGCTTAACCTTAACTATACTATAAACCACATGTGTCAAACACAAGGCCCGTGGGCCAAATCCGTCCCGCCAGGCCATGCAATGTGGCCCGCACCGCGCTGTCATCACTGCACTCCGCTGCGTTTCCATCACAATGACAGTTTATGACTGTTCAGTAAACCATTCGGCCCGCGATTTAGGCTGGATTTTAGATTTTGGCCCCTTCTCTGATTGAGTTCGACACCCCTACTATAAACCAACCAAGTGTAATGGTGTGTTGGTAGCATATTGTAAAAGGAACACAATGGTGTTTTGGAATCAGAGGACTTAAATCCCTGATCTACTGTTTCCAAGTATTGTGACCCTAGGACCTTGTAGGTAATCTCTGCATCTGTAAATAAATACTCTGTGAACTGAAAAAAAAGAAAAAAGAAAAAAAAAGAAAAAGAAATAGAAGAGACCGAAAGTAGAGAGTGTTTCAGGAAGTGAGTGAGAATTGAATTTAGCATCTTAGAGACCATCTGTGATTTAACAAGAGCATTTTCAGTGATGTGATGCTGCCTGGAATTCAAACTCAAATGGAAGAAGAGATAACTTTTTTAACAAATTGGCTTTGAAAGGAAGGAGCATGAGTTAGAGGTAGTTGGATGGGAAGATGTGGTTGGGGACATGCCCCTGTTGTGGGGTCGAACCCTGGGTTCAAAATAAGACCACAGGAGGCTGATTAATTAATTAAAAAAAAAAAAAAGCAGGCAAGGATTTATTGAACTGGCCAGGACAGCCGCGAGAGCACCACACACAGGTGGTCTCACACGACTGCACCATTTCAGGGGTAGGCAATTCCTTTTAAAAGTTTAAACCGCAAGAATTTTCCTGTTGTTCCTAAATCCTAAAGACTAAATTCTAAAGACGGGACAGCCCGCAGGGTCGGTTCCCAGTCACATCCTGCTGGACACTGGAATGTGGCCCTATCTTGCGATAGCCGATAACACAGAAGCAGAGCTCAGTGGTTAGTCTCTAAAGGTTATCTACAGTTTCTACCCCTGAAGCTACTGAGTCAGTGGGAATCAATCTCCTGTGGTCCTGGTCCCAGGCGAGGGAAAATTGCCTTAGCCTCCAGGTCTTCACCTGGAAGCTGAGGTAAGTACCCAGTGTTTTAATCAGATGCGAGAGCCAGACTTAGCAGGGTTAAAATTCAAACAGCAGTTTTTACCAAAGTATGGTTGCCACTATATTTCACCCCATCCCCCTAACATCACTGTCATTTCACTGGAGTGGTACTAGCAACACCACCAACATAAATTGGCTCCCACTCTCCACTGAGACCATGGCCGAAGCCCCTGCTGGCTCAGCCTGGACCCCCAGTGACACGTGCCTTTGTTTTCTTCGTCGCAGGGTAAAGGATGAGCAAGGTGGGGCACCGGCATTAAACCAGCTCTTCTGCTTCCACCACAGGAGGTTCTTGGGGAAGAGAAGCTGAAGGAGATCCTGAAGGATCGGGAACTTAAAGTTTACTGGGGAACAGCGACCACAGGCAAGCCACACGTGGCTTACTTCGTGCCCATGTCTAAGATCGCAGACTTCTTGAAAGCAGGATGTGAGGTAAGCTATAATATTTAAAGCAATCAGTTGTCCTGGGGGAGTGGCCAAAAGAGGGACTTCACAAGGGCTGGGCAGGGCAGGGAGGGGGGTGTGGAGGTCCTCAGGCAAATTCACATTTTGCTGGTTCCTGATCTCTTTTTTTTTTTTTGTTTTTGTTTTTTTTAATATATTTTATTGATTTTATACAGAGAGGAAGGGAGAAAGATAGAGAGTTAGAAACATAGATGAGAGAGTCATCGATCAGCTGCCTCTTGCACACCCCCTACTGGGGATATGCCCGCAACCAAGGTACATGCCCTTGACCGGAATCGAACCCGGGTCCCTTCAGTCCCCAAGCTGACGCTCTATCCATTGAGCCAAACCGGTTTCGGCTGGTTCCTGATCTCTTATGTCCAGGTAACAATTCTGTTTGCGGACCTTCACGCATACCTGGATAACATGAAAGCCCCATGGGAACTTCTAGAACTCCGAACCAGCTACTACGAGAACGTCATCAAGGCAATGCTGGAGAGTATTGGTGTGCCCTTGGAGAAGCTCAAGTTCATCAAAGGCACCGATTACCAGCTCAGCAAGTAAGTGCTTGATCACCCACATTCCTCCTGGCTCCCATGCTCCTCGCTAATTACAGGTCTGTGGCGTCTAGGCACTCTTAAATTTGGACTAGTAGCTGTTTGGCTCTACCTGTTAACCATTTAAAAATGTATTCCTTTTGTCCCTTTAATTCATCCATTGAAAATGTACTGACTAGTCAATGCCTAGATATCCCCATTTGCTGGAGATGTAAATGGAATCATAACAAAAGTCCTTGGCCTTACAGAGCTCACAGCATCTGGGAAAGCAATGATGAGCAATTCAGCCTTCCTTTCTCCTTCCAGGCTCAGCAAATATTGATAAAAAGAAATG